GCCATAAGTTCTTCTTTAGCGCCCGCATACGCATCGATAATTGCACTCACAGAAGCAACTTTTTCGGGGTTGTGAATGCTGTAGAAATGCTCCAAACGCCACCGCCACAGACAGCGCTTCGCCGCATCCCTCAACGCACCGTTCGTGATGCTGCTCCCACGGCACAGCATCACGGATCCGTTTGCTTCTCCCCAAACCAGCGCCAAAAGAAGATATATTTTTTTTTTTCCCTCGTGAATGTGTCGCCGACAGCCTCATCGTGCGGCACCAGGGGTCCATTACCGAATGGACGCGTTTCTTCAAAAAGCCAAAAGTCAACCATTCCGCAGTGCCGTGCTCCGCACCTCAGCCCGCACAATCCGCGTCGTGCCGGGGCACAAATGTAATGCCATGGGTTCTGGGGAGCGAGGGGTGCACGTGTTGCCTTCACGAGTGAAAGTCTTGAATTTTTTTTTACACAAAAATATAAAATACAAAAAAAAAAAAAATGAAAGAATAATTTAAAAACAAAAAAAACAAAAGAAAAAAACATTGAGAGGCGAGTAGAAGCAGGAGAAGGTGCGCAAAGGATATAATAATGAAAGGGGAGAAAAGAAAGGGCGTGCCTTGAAATGGAGAAACAAAAAAAAAAAATCATTACTAATGATGCGCTGCCGTCTGATGCAACTGTTGTTTGTATGCGTTTATGCGTGTCTGGGGACCCCGTTCCGATGTAAAAATTACGACAAAACCCACGTAACACAGCAAAACACGCCCGGACTCAACCCATTAAATCCAACAGTGGCGCAGCCAAACAAATAAAAAATTAAAGCACATGTGACAAAACAAAAACAAAAACAAAAAACAACAACAACAAGAAAGGAAAAAAGGCAAAAGGGGCAAATTTCCCTCCGTGTGAGGGAAATAGACAAACGCACGCACGCACACAGAAAGAGAGGGAGAGAAGAATGGAGGGAAGACGTTGGATGCATGAATACATTAGAAAAGAGTTTGTGAACCTTTCCGTCCCTCCGTCTCCTGTTGCGGCACCCGTTCCCACTCCTCCCACCCGTCAGTTACTCATCTACCGCCCGCCCCCATGGAAGGGAGATTGGGCATAATTTTGGTTCGTTTTTTGTTGTTGTTGTTGTCGTTTTTTTGCACTTATTTCTCTCGTGTGTGAGTTTGTGGCCAATTCATCCGCTTCCACCGCCCCACCAGTCACGCGAGTAAATGTGCAGTCACAACTGCCACCAAAGAAAAGAAAAAAAAAAAAAAAATAATAATAATAATAATAATAAATCCAAAACAAGACAACATCCGCTCTGATACGTGTAATCAAAACCCTCCTTTACTTTTTCATTGTGACCTCCCGCCCTCAGCAAAACCACAACTTCCCGAGCATGTGTTCTTCATATGGAATGGTGTTTGTAACCCGTTTAATTGAAGATTTATAAGCACATGCACTTCTCTTCTCTATCACATCCCTTTATGGCTTATATAAATAAATAAATATAAATAAATAAATAAATATATATATATATATTACGATCAGGTGGGTAGTGTGTTTGCAGAACCATTGCAAACAAAAACAATGGTTGTAATCTCCTCTCAGCATGAATCACAGTTGCCTATTTTCACGTACGCTTCGCATCCTTCCAGTAAACTTTGCTTTAAATTTTATCTCTGCTTGTTGTCAAGTGACGAGGGTTTTCCTTCCCATTTCACCTTTCCTCACTACACAAAGGTCCAGAAACGTACGTATCCATCCTGTGATGCGGTTACAACGCAACGGGAAGTGCCGTTTACCCGCACACCACGAGAAAGGCCCTTCCAGGCCTGTGGAAACCCTCCCAATACCTCCGTTAGTTTGCGTACGTCCCACAGGTACAAATTCTCGCCAACACTCGCCGCCAAATGTACATCATCTACATGAAGACCCGTCACATAATTTTTTAGTTGCAGCGTGTGTGTAAAGTTTGCAGATGGCAACCCATCAATCATGGGCTTTCCTGTGGGGCGATAAGGGACGCGGTAGTCCCAGGAAAGAATGGTGCTGTCAAAGGACCCGGTAAAGAATTGGTTGTTGTCTCGAACTGTCAGTGCTGGCAGTTTACGTGAGTGTCCTTTAAAGGACGTCACAATGGAGTCTGAGGCGACGTCCACAACCGTTATAGACCCGTCGCTGCCCCCCACTAATACAACAGATCCCGTAGGAATGCAGTCCATCACCTGCGCATTGGACGAGATAGTCAGATGCTGCGCCGGCTTGTTGTTACTGCAAAGAACAATACTGCGGCTCAGTCCACCAATAAGAAGTGGTGGAACCGTTTGCCCATGCACGTACGATACGCAATACACGTCGTTCCCCAAAGATATAGATGACGTTGGCGATAGTGCCGCCCCGTCGATGCCTCCCATCTCAAAGGACCATTCAACTGCATTGCCATCCTCGCAGCCCGTGGCAAATTGGTACCTCTCCTTAAAGCTGATGTCCCAGATGGCGGCTTCGTGGGTGTGTGCTTGCATGAGAGAATTTCCAAGTTCATCCACAAAGTACACATTGCCCATGGACGAACCCACTGCAAAGCGTCCTTCCACAGCGTCAGAGACCACGCAAAGAAACTTATCGCCCGGCACACCAGTAAAGGCGGAACGAAGGACAACGGCACCATGGATATTGAGTGGGCGCTCTCGAGGCGCGGACACCACCTCACGCGGAGCAATGTCCACCACATCTACGGAAGCGTTAATGCGTACACGAGGTTTGTCCCCAGTGGTTCCCACTACTGTGCCAGAGGTTGTTGGGACACCCCATCCAGAGGTCCGTCGTGAGTACCATGACTCCGCGGTTACAAGTCGATTGCATGACATCGATGTTGCCATCGACAATTCTGACACTGACGCCGATAAGCAACTTTGAATTCTCGTAATCTCCGCCTCCTTAAGAAGAAAGCGCGGAAAGTGTGGATGCGGTTCCAGGCAGATGATAACCCTAGCGTTGGAACTGAACCCTTCAAAGTTACGACTCTCTGACTCCTTGAGGAGCTCCTCAAGAATGCGGCAGGAGGCAATAGACTTGTGCGCATTTACAAGAACAAACCACGCTCCGTCATACATGGCCGCTTTGAATTGCTCGACAAACACCTCTGCCTTCGGCCTTAGGCGTAACTTCACTCCGAGGTCAATTGTAACAATGTGCATATTCAGCGTTTTGGCCACAAGCTCAATCTCGGCAATTGGATTGACGTCATAGCAGACACAAACAATACACCGACCGACAGCCACCATTTCCACGGCCCGCATGAGGCGCCGCCGCATTGAATTTTCCGATGGCCGTCTCAAGTTTGCATGAAATGAATCTTCCGTGCGTGCAGGTGTATCTATTTTTTCAAATTCTAACAGCTCAGGAACGCTATTTAATTTGTTTAAATAACCTGTACCCACGCTGTAGCATGGAGCACTCCCCGTGGTCTCCGCCGTGAGGTCGCTGGAGGCAACCGAAGTTTTATCCTCCTCCCCATCTTTCATTGCCGCAGACTGACTGGCACAAGACCCAGTGTCCAACAAGAATGCCGTCTGGGACGACAGTTTTGACAAAGATGATTGTACCGGGGTTTCTTGGGACACCGGTAGAGACAGATCCTCGTCAGCTATTTTGTTCAAAACGGTCTCCAGCAACGGCTGTTGGGCAACGCCGCTGACACAACCGTCACACCTCACGCTTTCTTCGATTTTCACCCGCTCCGAGGGCTCATTGTTCTTTTCATATACCACAGACACTTGCCGGGATGCATCCCCAGAGAGCAGGATCTCGCGCAGTTCACCCCTGTCCGTGACGGCCTGCCCATCCACCTCCACGATGCGGGCATCGAAAGGCAATTTTTGCGCGATGCCTGCTTCGGCCCCGTTCGGGTAAGCCTTAATTTGACAGTCCGGTTCAACAGAAATGCTGTGAAAAAATTCATCCGCCGTTGCCTCTAGTGAATTTCCACGCCCATGAGACATATGGCAGCTTCACGGTGTTTTGGTGGCGGTGTACCCCCACGCCGACGCCCCGCTCGTGGCAGTCCTCTTTCACCGCCCTTGCTCTGGAGTGCGTCCGGGTGTTCTCTCACCGTTACTTCCTACTCCCGCTGTTGACTCACGTGTTGGATCCCACCGCCAAATAAAATTATTTACCGCTGCTGCCTTCTCTTTACAAAAAAAAAAAAAAAAAAAAAAAACGCGCTTTGTGGCTGGTTGTGCACGTCAAAGAGACCAAGCAGCAAAGCAAAGCAAAAAAAAAAAAAAGGAAAAATAACAACAAACAGAGAGAAAACACACGCAGTAACACACAGACTCACAAATAGAGAGAGGGAGAGAGAGACAAAAAAAAAAAGAAAAAAAAAAGAAAGAACAGAAAGGATGTGTATTCTCATGCATGCACGTACGCGCATAGATGAATGTATCTAGCTGTTGCATCTAAATTGTCTCGGGAAGAGAGAAACAAAGAAAAAAAGAGCATAAATAAATAAATACGTGTGTACATAAAAGCTGCTCTTTGGTGGAGGAATAAAATGTTTAATTCTTTAAAGCAGAAAATTTTCTTGCCTTTATTTTTCCCCTCTTTTTTTTTTTTTTCTTGTGTGTGTGTGTTTGTGTTTTTTTGCTCCCGACAAAACAATGCGAAGCCGCAAAGTGCGCTAAGTGAGCCGCCTCGTATGTACAGTAGAGAAACGCCACAACAACAACAACAACAAAAGGCAACATCCACAAAACCGGACAAAAAGAAAAAGGCGGAACAACAAAAAAAGGAGAGAGAACAAAGTAGCCGATGACGTCTGCCACCTGCGTTTCCCCTCCGCCCACAACCACACAAAAACCAAAAAAGAAAAACTCCAGTCTACAGCAGACGCTCTCAACATCACCGCTGTGGTTACATCATCGAACGGATATAGGGACAAACGCACAGCAAAAAAAAAAAAAAAAATGGGAGAAAACAGGACCAAATGAGGGAAGCGAATATTTCCCCCGCACCATCAGCCACGGTTAGAACGGCTACGTGACTTCATCTCCACAAAAGGGCTTGTGGGAGAAATAGACATGCGCCACAACGCACGCTCAGCATTCGGCCGAAGAGGGGCCTTTTCAATACGCCTCCGGGCTGCAATACCAACGACTGCCTCGTGTCCCTTCCCCTCATCACGCTGCATGTACATCTCTGCCAAAGTCATGTTTTCATCCTGTCGTGCATGAGATCCTACGCGGCGGCATCGGCGTGAACTCGAACGAGCGTTAACGGGCGCAGAAAAGTTTGCATAATTCTCAGCAGCATCCACAGGAGGAGAAGCGGTGGGTCTATCAGCAGCTTCCGCCCGTCGTTGTCGACCGCGTGTGTGATTCATCAGTTTGCTCCGGACATCCCTCAAGAGGCCTAATGCTCTACGGACTCCATCTGTAAGCTGTTCATTTTTCGGTGACGCACTTTTTTCTGAGACCACAAACGTCTCCACCCCAGAGCTCTCCTCTGCTATGGGAAAGATGGTGCGAGCGGTGCGTGGCGTTGGACTACGTTGTTGTACCGGACTCACGTGGCGGCCACAATCCCCACGGGTATTTCCAGAATACATGTCTGCCATTGGTGTCTGTTGTTCTTTTGGAGGCGAAAAGTTGTCGTGGCGCACGGCAGAGCGCATTGTCGGGGGCGTGCGTGAACGCGGCGGTTTTAACGTTTCCCGAAGACGACGAGTGCTCTCACAACGAGCCACGTGAACTGCGCGTGACATCAACGCCTTTTCTTCTCCCTCTAGTTCTCGTATACGTTGGTCTATTTCTTCATCTGTTGCCTCTGTGGCAATGGAAACACCATGCGGACGCGGCTGCGGCGATAGCGACGCGGCTGGCGAAATCGTGGAAACGCATGAGTTCTCCTCAGCCTTGCGCCGCAGTTCCGGTAGGTCTCCCTTAATCATGTCATGTGCCACAGTGAGGTCCGCTAGTTCTCGCTGAGACTGCTGGAGTTGCTGCCGCAGTTGTTGCAAGGCGGTATTTTTATCTGCCACTGGTGGAGTGACGGGGCCAAGGGATATAATTGTGGGAACACACCGTGCAGCAATACGCTCCATACAAACAGCCCACTCATATTGCAGGCGGCATCGTTTGGATCGTTCTGAAGATAAAAGCAACTCTAATGGCGTCACACGACGCTGTCGAGCCTCATAAAGTTGGTACTCCCATCCAGCCAGCTCGGTGTCAACGTCAGCATCCTTCTCCTTCACATCGGCCTCCAACCGGGCAATTTTTGCCCTTCTAATTTCAACCTCCTCCTCCGTCTCACGCTGCCGCTTCCGCTCATGTTCCTCAATTTCTTTACTTTGTAGACGCTGGCGCGTAACCTCGTGAAGTTGGTTGTATAATCGCCCCACCTGATCCACCGCCATGGCGTGGTCGTGTGCAATGAGAAGACGTTGGGCATTAGCCATGGCATGCAATGAATCCGATACCTGGCCGTCAAAGTGGGTCACAATGGATGAGACTGTGCTGGTGGTGTACATAAAAGCATCTCTGATCCCACGCTGATAGTACGCATCACATAATTCGCGAAACCCCTGCACAAGTCCCATCGCACCCGCTTCGTATTGATGCGTGAAAAGTGGCGGCATATTGAGCACCATCACGGGGTCGTTCTTGATCTTCATGGCACGTTGCGTGAATCGCAGGCTGGCAACTGTTTGCTCAAAGTTTTCATGGGAGGGATTAATGCAACAGAGAATAAACGTCATGCCGGACCCACCAAGACAGTTGCGCAGAATACGTGTAAGTTTTGCATCACGGTAGGGCACATACGACCGCTTCTCTACAATGGCGTCAACCACA